CTCTCCTAGCTCCTCAGAGGACCCCCTTGTCTGTGTGGATACTCACAGTGGTTCCCCCGTGACTGTTTGCAGCTCTTAGGCCAGTGGGTGTGTGGACAGTTTTCCATAAACTCTGCCTGGAATGTGCTTAGCCCCTTTAGTGAGCATAATCAAGTCTTTTTAATTTCTCTCTCGCTCCTGCTCAGAAACGTTGCCTTAATTATCCCTTCAATGGTTGTGTATATTCCAAATCTTGTCAAATGCACAAAAGCTGTAAGTGTCCGTCCAACCTGCATTTTCTGCCTAATACCCCCTGTGGTTCTAGTTACTCTCAGCTCCGTCCTTTACTTAGTTTACGTGGATTGTTTGTCCACAGGACTGTGCATGTGTTTCCATTGCCAGCTGTCCTGTACGTGGAGCTGGCCACGAGGAAACGAGTCGCACGGCAGGGTCATCAAGGTAATGCCCGTGCTCCGGGAGGGCCTTCGTGCCTGCTGGGCACGGCCAGGCCGGGGAAACTGCCATGGTCGTGGGTAAGGTGTAGCAGAGAGTGGGCGCTGAGGCCGAGGGGCCTGGGGCTGTGGCTGTGCGTTTTCCTTGTGGGTCGCAGCAGCGCTGGCCCCCACCGACTGAAGCGCACCTGCAGCACCCGGACCACCATGGACACGGCAGAGGGGTTTGTGAGAATTTAGGCACCCGGCCTGGGTTGGGGCCTTTGATTTGTCTCTAGGTCATACTGAAGAGTAAACTTCATCAGTGACAAGTTTAGTGCCAACACACCACGTCCGTGGCTTGCTCTCTCCAGCGCCCACTCTCTGCTACACCTTACCCACGACCATGGCAGTTTCCCCGGCCTGGCCGTGCCCAGCAGGCACGAAGACCCTCCCGGACCACGGGCATTACCTTGATGACCCTGCCGTGCGACTCGTTTCCTCGTGGCCAGCTCCACGTACAGGACAGCTGGCAATGGAAACACATGCACAGTCCTGTGGACAAACAATCCACGTAAACTAAGTAAAGGATGGAGCTGAGAGTAACTAGAACCACAGGGGGTATCAGGCAGGAAATGCAGGCAGCGTTTCATGGTGGGGAGGGTCGCCCCGGTGTAAATCACAATATGGGGATCAACAGTGCGCAGCTCTGCTATTGCATTTTATATTTCTTTGAAATTCTTAGCTTGCTCACTTCCTTATTTCATTATCTTTACAGCTTACCCTGTTGTTTTAGAAAATGTAATTCTGCTGTCTTTTTTACCTCAGTATTTGTTCAACCGTTCTGCACATTTCAGAGGGACCAGGTCTTTCTGGCTACTACTGAACATGCCAGGGCTCTGTCTAAAATACTTTCATGTTTTCTTGCAGCTCATTTTCAGAGTGACACCCTCTCCTGTGAGGAGGGTGATGTTTTCATTTTCTTGGGCTCCAGTACTTCCTCATGGGTACCATGTTCTGTGTCTTCAGTTGACTCATTCTGAAATGACCCATCCAGACCTTGGGAGCGCCAATAGACACTGTAGGTTCCACTCTCTGTCCTTCTGCATTTGTAGAAGTCTTTCTCCAAGCTGACCCAATATCCAGTGTCTTTCAGGCAATTTGGCATCTCTGCCACACTGAGATGGAATCTGGCCCTGCCCTTTCNAAGTCTTTCTCCAAGCTGACCCAATATCCAGTGTCTTTCAGGCAATTTGGGATCTCTGCCACACTGAGATGGAATCTGGCCCTGCCCTTTCCTCCTCCCTGGGCCTTCCATACTCTGCAATATTAGAGTCCCCGTGTAATAACATCAGTATTGTGCTTTACACCCAAGGTCTTGCTACAGGTGCAGCAGCTACAACATCGTATTTGCTGTGACTGCAGTTCTGCAGTGCCACGCCATCACCCTCCATTGTTTTCTTGGAGTTAATCTCCAAATGGATGGATAAAAGTGGTTCCCAATAGAATAATCCTGTTTTGTTCATGCAGGATGGTAGGGGTTTCTGATTAGTTAACATAGTTCTCTAATTCAGGGGACAGGTGGCAAATGTATGAGAGTACTGCTGAGCTCCTCTGGGTAGGGAAAAAGTGATTTCATTGAACCCAAAGCACGTATAAGCATCATATCTCCCCACCCCCGATCCATTTCAGTCGGAGTAGGGGAGGGAGAAGGAGAGGGAGAGGGAGCTCGGCAAGGGGTTGGTGAGGCATAGACAATACCCAAAGAAATACCCGAATAAAATATGTTGGATGCTAGAAGTAAGAGTGCTGTGGAGGAAAATAAAGAGAAAGATGGAGAATTCATAATTCTTGCTTCCCATTGCTACGTGGTTTAAGACTTGTCATCACAGTTATTTTTATGGGAAATTGCTGAAGCTACTTTAAATGGAAACAGCCTGTATTGTTGTTTGAAATAGCTTTTAAACCAGAATCCAGCTATGCTTACATTTAATGGTTGAAAAACTATTATTACTATTAATCTCTGGTGTGTGATATACTATGAAAAAGCCTATGCTCACTGCTTGGCAGAAACTATAATATATGCTTACTTTCGCTACTTTATTTAATCCTTACAGCACCTCTGGAAAATGAGTATTATTTTATCCATCTGAAGAGGAAGAAAATAAGGCTTAGAGCGATTAAATAACTTGCCTGGGGGAACATAGCTAGCAGATATCCAAACCGGGATTTGAACCGACATGTCTTTATCCAAAGATCATGTTTGTAATCACTACACCTTCCCTGTCAAGCTCTGACTGAGCTAAGCAGGATGAGCGAATTAAGAGATTGATTGGTTTAATCCAAACTGTGTTCCAGGGCTTGCCCAGGATGCCCCTGCCTACCTCTCCACCTTCGTTTTAGTCTACATACCCCAAGCTCTGTGCATCCAGCCCCACCGGCTTCCTTTCTGTTCCTCATATACCACATTTTGGAGACCTTTGCATATGCTGTTTCCTTAGTCTATAGTGGTCTTTCCCTTCCCCTTTTCTCTGTCTTGCAACTGCCTCCTATTCCAGGGCCTAGCTCACAGATTATGGGCTCAATCTTCTTCTGACCACTGTACGTAAGGAAGCTGCCCCCCCATTAATCTCTCCTACCACCTGTTATTTCCATCGTAGCATGCATCCAAGCTGAAGCCGACCTGCTCACTTACTTGTCATGTCTCTCTCTACAGATTGTAAGCTCTCTGAGGGGAGGAACCTTCTACCTCTTGACTATCACTGTGTTGACTGCTCTAACATGTGGAGAAAGCAGTTGAGTGAAAGTGGACTAGTGACTTTGGAATGTTTATATTTGTTTCTACTTGGGAACAGTGCCTTTAAAATATTTTAATGAAATGTATTTGAAAATGTCTCTGATAATCTTGAGTGTTCTAAGATTTGTTTAAACTTTGCCTTAATAACACAATCACAAACTATTACAACTTCCTGCAGTAACATTTCTGCTTTGTTTTTGATATGCCCCATGGTCTTGTTTAAATAACTTGAAAATGAATATTATTTAATAAGAATAAACCTCTTCAGCTAATCATGTGCAGTAGAATGATAGCTAGGTAAGGACTCCATACACGCTCTAGTCTAACTGAACTAATGTAGAAAGATAAAGCTTCTCAAAAGCTGCCTGGGTAGATCGAGATCCAGAAACATTGAGCAGGGAAGGCCCTTTCCCTTATGTTAGGCTAATTTCTTTTTAAATGTTTTTATTAGTTTTTAGAGAGAGGAAGGGAGAATGGTGGAGAGAGAGAAACATCAGTAAGAGAGAAATGTCAGTCGGTTGCCTCCTGCACGCCCCTTTCTGGGGATCGAGCCCGAACCCTGGGCATGTGCCCTGACACAGAATCCAACCGTGACCTCTTGGTTCCTAGGGCGATGCTCAGCCGCTGAGCCACACCGGCTGGGCGGGTCAGTTCTTACTGTGTTTCTTTCCCTTGCCTTCCCCCACACCATTAGAGTGAATATCCCTACAGGAGCAATAGATTATGTATAGCATTTAATCAAAATAAATAAATCTGTATTTCAGAAAAGAAAGTAAGTATATTAATCAAAGTTCCTGGTTTATCTCAAATCCATAAGAAATGAAACAGTAACTTTCATGGGTCACTTAGCACTGATTTCATTGTGCACCATTCCATCTGAGGCAGCCGTTACACAGACACATGGCCTGCAGGCTGGATCTTCAACTAGAAAGCAAGAAAAGTGTCAGGTTCAGGATGGAAAATGAAATCAAGCTTTATACAGTGTATTTTGTTCCACAGTTAACAATGGAAACTACTGCATTCCAACCTCATATTCAGAAATCACAAATTTTAAAAAATCAGATTTAATAGCCGTTGAATTTTTATGAATCAGTCTTAGATGACAAAGGAATTCCTCATTCTGCAGAAATACTTCTTGAATATATGGTTTGATTTACGAACATAAATTTACACACATTTCTAAAAAACAAGGTATACCTTGCCTTCATGTCTTCTTAGAGGCCAATGATTTACTTTCTAAGAGTCAAGCAAGACAAAAGCAAACTACATGGTCTTGTTTCTTTCTTTAAGGAGATGAGGGAAGATGGACATGTGTTTCATCGATGGAAATGGTATGTCCAGTGAATGTGGGCAGTTAATATATAAAGCATTCTAAGAAGTTCAAAAATAATGCTTTTGCTAGGAAGTACCTCTTGTGAGACCAATGTATTCAAGACCTGTATTGCCTGCCTTGCTATTTTAAGCTCAGCAGCAACATTGGCTCCGTTACATTTATATAGCAAAACACAGACCCCAGCATAGATGACTGTGAAGCTTAGCGTTCTTTCTGTGAATAAGAGGATTTTTAGGCTGACATTATAGGAATCCAGTTCTCTTTAGTGCTTTGTTTATAGAATGATCACAGGCTATGGAGAAAATATTATTCATCCCCAAATAACTATGCATGTAAGTCATTGACTCCTAGAGTCCAAGGGATTATCTTGCCAAAAATCTTCCTTGTAGAGATAAAGCTTGTCTTAGAATTCTGGTGCCTATTGTAATGAGGATTTGTTTTTGTGTGTCTCTATGTGCAGGAATACATGGACTCCAATAAATACATTGAGCATCTGCTAACTCAACTCGAGGAAAAACACAGAAGTCTCTGGAGGTGAGTTAAATCCGTATCCTCAATTTATAGCGGCCTCTATAGCTTCGATCTTGATCTTGGAGGCTGGGAATTAGAAATTGTTTATTGTTCCATTTGGTGCCAAAAGCATCATTGGGGACAAGTTGTCTTTGAGTCAAGGACCTGCTCAGAGCTGGAAGGATGGTAGAAATTGGGACAGACACTGGTTAAGGTCAATGAAATAATTTGTCCAACACCATGTGGCAACCTTGTATTGTAGAAACTGGAATCAAATTCTCTGATCCTAGCCTGCTTAAAGATCATTTAAGTTTTTTTATAATTAAAAGGCAGATGACTTCTGGTTTACATTTCTGCTTCTCTTCATGGTAAAGGGGCGTATTTTAAGAATGCTGTTGTATAGGTCACAATGTTTTTATTCTACATGGTAGGTTCTGATTCTCGGTAAGGAAAAGTATGTGAGAATATTTGTGCAGGTAAATTGGAAAAAGGTTATATCATATAAGTCATATTTTCAAGTTATTCATTCCCTGGGGCCTCTTGGGAATTGAGACCAGGTAAGGATGGTTGTGATATGATTATCTAGATCTTTAGGATCCATGTAGTTATGCTCTTCACAGGTGCTGCTATGGAATTTGAATTCCTTTTTCTAAATTCCTATAGTTCTTGTTGTCTGGAATGAATGTACTAGTGCTCATTTATATGATGCCTCACATTGCACTGGAATTGTTTCACGTAATTAGCTTTGTGTCCCAATGGTCAGGATGCCCCTAACGTCCGCTGTTTCTTATCTCCTCGAGGCAGGGAGCAGATCCTTCCCTCTATTCACAGAGATGGCAGGTAAATATTTGCTAACCCTGTGGCTCTTTTCCCCACCTCGTCCAAATCCATCACCACTGGTCTCTGCACCAGGCTACGCTCCCCCTTCTTTATGCACCCTGTAACAAACCCCAGTCACCTTGACATTGTCTTCCTAAGGAATTCCAGTTCTTGGTAAAGTGCCTGATATTTTCATTTGTCCTGCTCTCATGTTAGTTTTCCTACTAGAGAACAGATCTGTGGTTATAGTAATAGACAGAATTCTATTTCTGCACACACAAAAAATTGCTGGTGTAGGGTACAGCAGAAGTGTATAATTTTTAAGTCTGCTTGCTACTAAGAGGCACACCAGTGAAAAATTAATTCACACCAAGTTAATTTTGTATAAATTGATGCAATATTTGCCAGATTTGTTTTTGAGTGCTGTAACCTGGTGTTGATACAGTTTTCTTTTGTGAACCAGTGTACTGTATTAATAAAACCAACAACAATAATGTATTTATGGTTGTGTGCCTTTTAAATGATATTTTCTATAGGTCTACTACAAAGTATATTTAAAAAGTTATTTAACTGAACTGTAGCACTTTCTTTCAACTACTTGAACATTTCATTATCTTCCAAGAGGAAAATACAAAGAAATGATGAATACCACCTGACAAAGGGAATTTAGAGTTTAACTTGGTCAGTAAGTGTGTCTTATACGCACCATTGGGAAGGACTAATGGATTCATGGGTCTTTGGACCCAATGCCTGAATGGAAGGAATATTTTCCTGCTTTCTCAAGGTAGCTAGTAAAAACCTTCTGGTCTTCTCCAATGTGATTAAGTTAAAATCCCATTTCAGGCACAGAATTAAACTCGCATAAAGTAAGAGATGAGAATTTTGTGTGCAGTTGCTTCCATTTTCCTTCAGAAATGGAATTATTGCAGGTGAAAAAGCATAGCCTTATATATAGTGTCAGAGGATCTAATAAAGCTACATTTGAATAACAATAAAGGGCGGTAATGACATTTGAATAGTCAGAATAACTGCCAGTGAGAAAATGGAGATGGGCAGTATTGAAAAGAAAATGAAAACCAGTAATAGCAGATTTATATACTATTTATTGAGTCATGAAATTATACTTGATTATATTTTGCAGAGAGATCTTGACTGACTTAAAGTAATAGGGTTTGTGATGGTTATTACAATGTCATAACTGCAACCGGAGCCAAATTGTTTTCAGTAAAGGATATGTGAGTGACAGTGAGCAGTGTGGGGAATTCTTTCTGGTTGTGATTAAATTTTTAAAACACTTTCTTGCATTAGGGTAGAAACTATGATGTGCAGAGGATCATGGGAATAGCATGTGAGGTACCCAAGCACAACTGGATTGTCGGAAGTTAAACAAATGTTTCCATAACTCAATATAAAACTTTTTCTCTGATTTTATTATGCCTTTGATTTGTAGCTGGTGCAGTTTTCATGGGGGAAGCTACTTTTTATTGCTCCTGACTAACTGATGGCCTTCCATTTATGCTTGAACTAACTTATAACTTAAAAGAAAGGACAAATTCTGAATATTTAGTTCTTTCAACAATAATGGTGGTCAGCATGGCCACAGTCTCTGAGGATTGATCAAAATCATGGTAGACACATATGCTGTTACTGGCACTTGCTGAATGATAAAAGAATTAGGCAAATGATAGAAGACTGGATATCAGGATTAAAAATCCTTCCTTATTTTTGTGGAAGGAGCTACTTGTCTTTCATAGTTTTTGGTCATTTCTTACAGCATAACCAGTTGCTGTGACACAAATAAATTGTTGGAATCATACTCTCAAGATAACTAGTTATTTTGGGGTCCTGTTTAGTATTCTACTGAAATAGACATATTAACTATCTCTGGGTTTTCAAATTGCTAAGGAATTTGTGAAGTCCAAAAATAGCTGTCTAGCCATGAGCAGTCATTTAGCTCAGCTGTATTTTTGACACCCACAGATAACGTGCATGAATTCATCTGGAGAAGAGGGTAGAGTCAGAATCTAGAACTTAGTCTAAGACTTGCATGCAAGTCTAATTGTGTGTGATCTGCTCTGCCTCTCCCTGCTTGATGATGAAAAGGAAGCACCCCCATGGCATCTTGCTTACTAGGTGATGTTGAGATGTGATAATAAATTTCTGCATGTTTATTTGTTTTAATGTGGAAAGTTAAGATTAGAAGAAAAAGGCTCATTTGTACTTAATGATTTTTATATCTTCTTTTACTGTTTCTGATTTGGCTAAATATGTATCTGTGACTGACAAAGATTGTAATAAAACAATTGCTGAGAATGTCGTTCTCCTACACTTGATAGAAATCTTGACCCATTTGCAGCCTCAATTTAAAAGTTTAGAACAAACACAGTTGGAAAATACAAATTGAATTCATGAATATTTATGATGTCAATGACTCTTTCATGTCACGTATGTGAAATTATGTATAAAAATGGAAACAGCATGATGCTATAGAAATGCAAAGAGGACTGGATTAGAGGTTTTGGAGACTTGGACTCTTGTCCTGGCCTGCTTAAACTGGCTGTTAGGTGACATCTGGGACTGAGTATCCTTATCTGGAAAAAGAAGGTATCAATATAGCTAGTATTTAAGATTTTGGAGCCCTGAGATTATATGAAACATAATGTCTAGTATTACATTTATATAACATGTCAGACATGTATAATCTCATTTTTGTATAATATTTAACTAATATATCATGATCAACCTCTGTAATACATATATCATAGAAATCTTCAAAAAAATGAGTAGAAATGACTAATATAACAGAAATGCCTAACAATTTTCCAGCAACACAACTAGATAATGTCAAAGTGTTCATTTCAGATTTTCCTGGCTCAAATTGGAGACAGTGTTATAGATAGCCTGTAAATAAATAAGGTAGGTCTGCATGGGCAAGATTAAATGACAAGATCTGGTAAATGCAGGGTGCCAGCTGCAAGCCAAGAGAGACCAGATCACCAAAGTCCCATTGAACGAACTCTGTGTAGGCTAGGGCTCTCAGTTGAGGTGCTGTTGACAGTGGTGGCCAGGTCATTCTTTATCATGGGGGTGAGAGCGGGGTTGGCCTGTCCATTGTAAGGTGTTTAGCATAATCCCCAGCTTCAACCCACTATATGCCAGTAACGTCCCCGCATTGTGACAACCAGAAAAAAATGTCCCCAGACATTTTCCATATGTTCCCTAGGGATCAGAATCATCTTTTCTCCCCATTGAGGACCAGTGATCTAAGTCATTGACACAAGCATTTTTCTAAGCACGTATCAAAAAATACTAATACCCTGGGTCACTGTTTTAGGTGTTTTAGGAAAAACAAATGTATTCTGTGGTCAAATTTGCAATATACAAGGTAAGGCCAAGTTTTAAAATTGTTTTAATTGCCGAACTTTTCAGAGCCAGTTATATTGCTAACGTGCTACACACATTAAATACAGGATATAGGATATAATTTCAGCTTCTTAAAAAAATCCTCAATCATATCTTTTGTGAAGTATTTACTCTGACTAGGTTCTGGGAAACACATTTTGGGAAGTGGTGATCCATCTAATTTCATAGCCAAATATAAACATGGCTTGTACCCTTTCCTCCCCCATTTCTCTGGTCCTGGGATGGGGGACTTAGTGAAAGAACAGTTAGTACTGTGCAGAGTCTGGCTTGCTGGTAAAAGGAGGAAGCAGGTATGTGGAGAAGCTAACCCCAAGTTCTCCATTTTCTTAAAGGGGAGACCAAGCCTCAAGACCAAATTCCAGGAATCTGAAGAACCATTGCTGACTAGCTGTGGTTGCCCTCGTGAGGCACTTACCTCCTGCTTCCCCAGGAGGAGAAATGGTGGTTTCTACACGACCTGGGGGGGGGGCTTCATCGAAGAGCATCTATAGATCCCTGGTTGGAATCAGATTTCCTAAGGCCTAGCCCTTCCAACATAAAGCGATGATTTCAATGTATCCAGAATTCTTAAGAGCAGACTTTTGCTTTTGCTTCATGGCTTATATGTGATTCTTTTTTTTCTTTTTTAAAATATATCTTTATTGATTTCAGAGAGAGAAAAGGAGAGGGAGAGAGAGAGATAGAAACATCAATGATGAGAGAGTCATTGATCAAGCTCGCAACCCGGGCATGTGCCCTGACTGGGAATCGAACCCCGATCGCCTGGATCCCAGGTTGACGCT